TATATATATATATATATATATATATATAATTTTATTGATGATCTTTTTTAACATATGATTGTCAATTTTCGTCCAAAATTCATATATTTTCGACAAATATAAATTTGTCAGAAATATTTCATCAGTAATATAACTTTTCCTACGATTTTTTTTATCAAAAATATTAATTTTCTGACAGATTTATATCTATAAAAAATTACCGATGGATATATCCATCGAAAATATAAATTTTCCAACAAATTTGTATCTGTCAGAAATTACCGACAGATATATCCGTTGAAAATATAAATTTTCTGACAGATTTTTCTCCGTCGAAAATTATCCATCGGTAATATAACTTTTCTTACGAATTTTTTTTTCATCGGTAATTTACATTTTTCTTTTAGTAAATAGTATAACATTAGGGTAAAATTTTAGTTAGTTGTGACATTGTTGAATTTTTATTGGAATTATGTTTATCATTATTTTAATTAAGATGTTGTGTTTAGTTTTGTTTCAAATAATATTTTTATGTTTTTCTCGTTAACAAGATGATGAATAAAGTTTTGTAAACCTTTTTACAAACTATTGAAGAGAATAATATTATCAATTATTTTATTTTATTTAAAATTTTTATATTATAATCATTCATTTAATTGGAGTAAAAGGGTATCACACTTTATTATGTACTCTCCACAAGAACAATCATATAATTGAAAAATATTTTTGATTTATGTAATAGTTACTTCAAATGTTATATCTAAAGCGATTCCTAATTAATTGATAAAATAAAAATTTATACATTAACAAATGTATTAAAATTAAATCATAAAATATTAGTACAATAAATAAATAACACTTCGTCTAGAATTAAAATAAGAGAAAAAAACCTCATAAATTATGGACTTAAATATAAATAAATGTTAACTTTAATGACAGTTTTTATTTTTATTTTTAATGACACTTTTTAAAAAAAAAAATCAAATCCTAATAATGAAGTATATAATATAAGAATAGATAATTTTAAATTAAAATTAACAATATTAAATGATATTAAATTATTTTTTTGATTAAGGTATAATTATAACTAAATGTAGAGGGAGTAAATTAATTGTCAATGTGGTCGGGTCAAACACAACATTTTGATGTGCATAATAGTGCAACACTTTGCTGAAACGAGAAAGCTTGCATGCACTAATTATTCGTTTGAAACTTAGGATACGATCTTTGCGATTATAACAATAAAATAGTATATACTTTTTCTTGTGAAGTATACATACCTATTACCTTAAAACATATTTTCAGGGTAAAAAATTTAAAAGAATCAAATAACTAACATTAGTTTAGTCATTATGTTACCAACCTGTCAAGACGCAAATTTGTCTACAGAAATGCTTCCTCACAATTGGAGGAGACAAGTTGACCGAATGGAATAGAAAAATATAAAATAATATATATATATATATATATATATATTAATATTAATA